CAGTGCTATTTTTGAGACCTGGCAGCTGCCACTCTTGGCACAGCAGATGGCACTGATAAAGACACAATGCGGGGAACAGGTTGATAAAGACAGAGCCCTCATCACACTTTCACTCTGCAATTACACTCAGCTCTAGAATACAACTGAAATGCATGGCAGGGTCACTCTTGAGCAGGAAGACCCTGCTCATCTGCAGAAAATAACTCTTGTAGAACAATTAACTGTCTACATGTTATTAAGCAGAATCACTTTCATCTCCTGTTCACAGGAACAGAAAAAGCACCCAGGAAAGACATCCAAAATCTTGTGTGTTCATTGTACTTTCATTCTCGCTGAGGGAGACAACCTTTCATGCCCTGTAATGCAAATCCAGACTCAGCCAGATACCACTTGCAGCAACCCTCAATCTACACTCCACTAAGGGCCAGGGCACACATCATCAACCATTGTCGCCTCTTGTAAAAAAAAAAAAAAGTCACAAAAAAAAACACTACCTTTTTTTTAGAGGGGGGGAGTTGTTAAACGAGAACATTGCTTATGGGAGGTAGCAGCCAACCGCTCCTGGAAGCGGAAACAGCCTCCTTACCCCAGGGCACATACGGCAGAACAGAAGCAGGAGCAGCCCTCCAGCCCCTTCATCCCTGCCCTGCAGACAGGGCACTGCTAACACTGCAGGCACTTCTGCTACAGTAGGCAGGGAAGCTGCACACATCCTGCTGGTGCTGGCAGCTGGCAGGGACTCACTACCATCATCTCACGGAAACACTACTGCAGAGAACAAGGGTGCTAAACAATATTCACAACCTCTTAATGCCAATGAGACTCTTGGTTATAGTAAGGCTTTCTTTTCAAGTAGGCAAACTAATAAAATCAACCAGAATTTTAAGTTCTAGCTTTTGTAACAGAGAATCTAGAACTGGGGCACAAACATAAAATGCATATAAAATGTTTAATATACAACTTCAAACCATGATATCTTTTTAAAGTTGATTCCATCCTTGCTTATTAAGTAATCAGAGTAACTTACACCAGAAGCTTGACACCTACTACCTCCAACTCACAACTGCAATCGTTAATCATCATCAAAACACCGCATGGTTAAAAATGTGGCTGCAAACCTTGGACCTCTGCAAGGTTCACCTTGGTCCTCATGCCCTGAACAGGATAGGCTTCATCTTCCAGGTTGGTTTTGAACTTTTATGCTTTCCGCTCAAAGGCATCATGAAATTCTGGATCTGCGCTCACCTCACATGACTACAGAGTCCTTTTCTTTAATAGCCCACTTTAAATACTGCTAGACCCTCTTTCCTTTGTATAAATAATTAGTTTAGAGATTTGAGGGTCCCACTTTACATACCACAGAGACACAGCTTATGCCAGCTAATGGCAAGATAAGATATCTTCAAACACACTCATTTTTATAGACATGTGATTTATAAAATACCCAGACAACCATCAAAACGTTATGAAATGTTGGGAAAGTTTCAGTGAAACTTCCATAGCTTCACCTTGGTTTCTCATCTTTACAAAAGAGGAAGGTCCTGTACCAACAACATACATTTTTTGTTTGTTGTCAGAAATTTGATTTAAGAGTACCTGCAGTAACTGAGGAGCACGATGTAAACTGCTGCTTAGGAAACCAGAAGTCCTGGTGGAAGGGAACACAAACGCTCAGGACAGGCTTTGTGTCCTGTCAAGTGCCAGAAGCCACCAGAGAGAGCTACGTGCCCGCAACACCACGGCTCATGCCAGCTGAGCACTGCAGAGATCCCAGGATCACACCTCCGGATGCTGGATGCCATACAGTGCTGGAAAACATTTCATCTTTAATGAAAACGCCAAAGTCAACTCATCTGACACTGCTCTGCCCATCAGCAAAGTAATTTACACAGCCCTACTCAGGTTTATGTATTTGGGGCATCTGTTCAGTTTCTGTTACTTCTGGCCTTGGCTCCCACACTCCTTCACAGATCAAGTAACTGCTTTCCCTTGCTGCTAATTTCAACAGCTGGTTATTACTCTCCAGCCACCTGCTACACTCACCTGGGGAAGAGTCATAAATAAATGTGTACAAGCAAGCAGATGCTGTCATTTCACAAACTGATCCACCTAGTAAAAACCATCCTGCTCAGGACTGAAGTGCTGAATTACTGAGCATGTGTCTTGAGATTATGTTCATAAAATCCAAAACCAATTGCCTTTGTTTATTATATCAAATGAGTAAACGAGGAAAGAGTGTTACGAAAAAGAATTTACTACAAATAAATAATTTTTATATTCTGAACCAAGGCCAAAGAAAGGCCAAACACTTGCTCTTCCCAATAAACACAAAGGCAAAATAAGATACAAAGCACAGGGTTTGGTATTTGGTGTAACTGACCACTTTTACATCAATGGCAGACAAGGTAACATCAAGTAACCATGGGACCTGGAATCCCTGACTGCAAACAGAGGAAATACAGATGGTTCATCAGGCTTTGTTAGCTGTGCTGTGTGCTCTTTATTGGGGAGTTAACTGGGTCATTTCTTTTTTGGATGTCAGTGCTAAGAGAAAGTGAGGGTGTGCTCCACATTTAGAATCCACACAGACTATAAAAGAGTAAAAGCAGTGCTTTGCAGACTATGCCACAGGAAGATGCAGCGAAGAAATGGTTTCCTCTGTGTTTGAGAAGGGACATCTTCCTGCAAGGTTAGGCAGTTTGGCCTCCACAGCCTTTAAAGAATTTACTTCTGATGAGGCCAGCCCACCTTTCAGTGGCAGTGGCCTAACCCACAATCACTTCTGCAGGTTACACAGGTGACAATAACCTTTGCCAGCTGGCACCAGGAATTAAATTATTTCTTGCTGACTTAAAATGGAAACATCTAGCACTGAAGTGCTCTGCTTCCTGGTCAGACAGCTCACAAACCCCCCATCTGCATTAGTTTACAGCCATTTCTACACTAGTACACATGTACTGCAAGGTCAATTATTCTGACAGCAAAACTTCCCAGTTCAGCTTCTGCAGATCTGTTGGGGTTTTCCCAATAAAGACAATTCCAACAAATTGTTAACATAGAGCACAGTATTATGAGCTTTTAGTGGATTTTCCTCCAAGACTAAAAGCCAAACTCACACACTACAACAAGGCTTCACATCTGAAAACCAGCCCTTATTAGCTTAGCAGATACACAGCTCAGCCCTTTCAAGACTATTGATGCTATGTCAGCATTTAAACCATTGTACCAAAACGTGACTGACTGGAAATAACTAGAGAAACACTGAACCTCCCTGAATACCCAAAATCTAAAATCTACCCAAAACTTCCTCACCTACACTAAAACTGATAAAGCTCATCATAAACTTAACACCCTACCATTGCACTAGAGATAGCGTGTTTAGAAGTTGGTGCTATTTAAAATACCAGAAAGAAAATCCAAACCTCTGAAATGTCATTTTTTGGGGAAAAAAAACCTAGCATTTAAGCTAGGCAAACTACCATTAGGCAAGAATTGTATGAACAAAATTAAAGAGGAATAAAAGTTACTAAAAATGGCAATAAAAATTGGGCAGTCTATAAGCACAAGCCCAGAAAAAAACAAACTACAAATATTGAACACAAGGTCTAACAAGAAGTTTTCCTTGACAGCTCAATACTTCCCCTACAGCAGCATAAATTAACATTTAGCAATCAAAGAGACGAACATTCTAAATGAAGGTGCTGAAATCACACAGTCACAGGACGAATTCAGGTGCCAAGAGAAAGGAGGTGGAGGACAGACGGGCCAGCAGGATAAGCTGCTGAAGTGTGATGGAAGTCATTCAAACCAGACAGCAGGAAATGGGGCAGAGAAGAGGCATGAGCAGCAGCGATAGGACTCAGAGCAACTCTTTCTTCAGAGACACTAGTAGCCATTGAGCAGAGGGGACAGAGGAATAGGTGCTCTCTCAGTACAAAAGGTGGTGGGTTTAACTTTTTTTCTGTAAAAATAAGATTTTGCATCAAGCCAGATTTCAATCCCAGACAAGCGACACTACCTCATGAGTTACAAACTCCTCATTTCTTGTTATGTTGCTTTAAATTTTGGCTCGTGATGTTAAGACTTTCCTCAGAATTGCTGAATTGTAAGCAAAATAATATTTACAGTCCCATATGAAGTACTGAAAACATGTTCAGGACACATTATCAAAGCAAAGGGGGGCTGAAAGACATTGTGTGAAGTGCGCTACAAGGCTGAGGTGCATATTCCACACAGGAAGCACGACCTAAGTATAGGTTAAAACCACGCAGCATGAACAACCCAAAGGACGCTGCCTCCAGCAGGGTTCAGCCCAGACGCTTCCAGGCTCCTCCCAGGTTACTCAGCTCAGCACACAAGGTCCTAGACAGGCTTTCTTTCTAATACTTGAGAACAACATTGATTAGAGCATCTCCTCATCTTACAGTAGTCGTCTACTTGTGAATAGCTATCTCATTTCCGGAACAGGGAGACTTCCAAAGCGAAAACAGCTATCTTCCTCATACCATGGCTGCATAGTTAAGGTGCCAGGTACAGCAGAAATAAGACTACATCGGATTTACATGCTTCTCTTTAACACAAGCAGCTGCACCAGTTATAGAGTTACTGAATCCCAACAGAGCCACTGGACAAGAGCCCAAAGAGCCCTGCCTGGAGAGACTTTTACCGGTGCTCCACTGCCCGCGGAGACCTGCGCTGCAGCTTCACGGACTCTTTAAGCCGAAGAGCCACCAACGCCTCCGAAAGGGAAGGCTCCGCTCGCCTCAGCCCGCTGAGCCCGCTGCCGCTCCCTTCAGGGCTGCGGAGGCAAAGCCGATTACATGAGGAACCGGGAAGTGAGACGCTCCGGACCAGAACTGACAAGAGGCAACGTAGTGGGGTTTTTAACGTGGAAGGGAGCCGGGGGCGGGATCGAGCCGCAGGAGAGCGGCCCCGCCCCGTGCCGGCAGCTCCGCCGGGGCCTGCCCCGCCTCACCCCGCCCCCGGGCACACGCGCAGGCCCGGCAGCCGCGCGCTGCCATGGCGGCAGCCGTTGGTGGGGAGGCCCCGGCTGCCGGCCCCGCGGCGGGCGGCGCGCTCTGGGCCGAGGTGTGGGCGCTGCTGCCCGGCAGCGAGGAGGAGCTCACCTTGGCGCTGAGCGGAGAGGTGGACGGCTGCGTGCGGCCGCTGCTGCGGCGGGCCCGCGGGCTGCTGTACGGCGCGGAGGGCCGGCCCGGCGGGGAGGCGGCGGCGGCGGCGCTGCGGCGCCTGGGCGACGTCCTGCGGGACTACTCGTGGGAGAAGCTGAACGCGGGCCCGTGGCGGGAGGTGAGCAAGGCCTGGCGGCAGGTCTACGCCTACGGCTGCCTCTTCGGGGCGCTGGCCGAGGTCGCCGCGGGCCGCCCGCTCGCGCCCGCCGTCCGCCTCTGCGACATGGGGCTGCTCATGGGCGCCTCCGTCCTGGACAACGTCCTCGCGCGCCTCGTCCGCGTCCTGCAGCAGCACCTGCCCCGGGAGCAGCGGCGCGGCGCGGCCGGGCTGGCCGCTGAGGTACGGCCTGAGGGGCCCGGCCCCCCGCGCGCTTCCCCGCGCCGCCCTCTCTTTCCCTGCTCTGCCCCCCGGGGCTCGGCGGGGCCGCCGCTGGCAGCTGCGGGACCCAGCCCCGGTGTTGCAGAGCGCCCGGACCGAGCCCCGCCCCGCCCCTGCCGTGCGGCCGGAGGACGCGGTCCCGCGGCTGCGGTGCCCTTCGCTGGAGCACTTCCGAGACAACTACCTCATCCCGCAGAAGCCCGTGGTGCTGGAGGGGATCATGGACCACTGGCCGTGCATGAGGAAGTGGAGGTGAGGAGCGGGAGGCTGAGCCCTGTCCTGTGGGATCGTTCTGTGGCCGGTATGGCGTGGGAGCCGCCGCGTGCCGCTGAGCGCTCCAGCGAGCCGAGCGCGCCGGGGTCAGGCGCAGCAGCGGGGTTTGGAGCGCGCAAAGGGAATTGCGGAGGTGCGGGTCGGTGCGACCGGCTCCTTCGTGAGGCGCGTTTGAGTGCTGAGTCCCGGACACCGGCATTCAGCAGCGAGCGGTAACTGTGCTGCCTGTGCCCTGTAAGCAAGTGTTTCCAGCACTGAGAATCGGGTGTTTGTGAGCTCATGATTCCCTAGAAAAGGGGAAACAACACTTCTGCTTAGTTCAAGCAGTTGCTTTCATTCCACAGCCAAGGGTGAAATCGACGTTAACCAAAGGCACTTGTTTCACAGGGGGTTTGTTCTGTTTTGAGGGAAGGTTTTCCACTGCTTAACTTCAGACACTTAAGAAGATGAATATCTCTGTTTAGTGAACGTCATTGTCAGTGGTGAGCTGTATGCCACCCTCCAAAGTAATTCCCCCACCTTTAGCCAGGATGGGTATTACTGCCACCTGCAACAGAGTTTGGCCCTGATGGAGAGCTGATCTGGCACAATGATGAAAACGTAAAACGTGTTTAGGAAATGTGGCAGCAGGCAGTAGAAAGATAAGACATCTCTAGGCAAGAGGGACTAACAGCCTACATCTCAGCTGGTAGGAAGCAATAGTTAACTGAGGTAAACAAGGTTTGGAAACAAAACAAGAAGGACATTGTGGCATAATGTACACACAAACCTGACTGCTTGTTTCCTTGCTGCTTCCGTCCTTTTCTGGTGCCTTTTTGTGTCTCATTGGTTGGTTTTAGAGAGAAAAACCTCATGGTAGTAGAGCTTTATTATTCTAAAAGATTGATTTTGCTTGATTACCTTGCATTCAGAATCAGTAAGAGCAGCAGAATAAAGGGGTAATGGAACTTCCTTTATTTCAGTGTGGACTATTTCTGTCAAGTCGCTGGGTGCCGCACAGTGCCTGTGGAATTGGGCACCCGATACACAGATGAGGATTGGTCTCAGAAGCTCATGACTGTTGGTGACTTCATCAGCCAGTATATTGTGAATGAGGTTTGTTACTCTCATTTTGGTTCATACAGCAATGTGTTACTGGTACCAAATTTCTGCTTAGATGAAGTCAGGGAGGGGTGTGCTATAGAAGGTTTGATGTTTTCAAGGTCTGAACCTGCTAATAGTTATTGTAACAATAGCTAGGTTTGATTTTTATATATAATCAAGTGTACAGCAGCTGGAATTTGATGAATAGATGAATACCTTCTGCAGCACAAACCTGAATGGCGGAGTCTAAGGATAAGGGATACTCAAGCCAGCAGTTTTGTTTCTCTTGGTTATTAAACTGCTTAGTGAGATGCAGGATCCAAATTCCTGTGCCACCAGTTAAAAGAATAAAGACTTGGTTAGCAATTGAATGTCCCTTGACTTTCCCAGCTGAGGATCCAAAGCCCTCATTTCCATTTCCAAGCCTTCTGGCAGGGAGGACCATGTGCACATGGTCTGTGGTATAGCCTGGAATCCAGGATGCTTACAGAGAAGGTCTGTGTTCCGGCAGGGCCTGGCAGTAATGATGCAGAGCACTGTCACAGGACTGGCAGCAGAGCTGGTGGGCGCTGCAGGGTTATCACTGGGCTGCTTTGGGCGAGCTCATGTGTTGGAGGTGGGGATACAGCTGGACTTGCCTTTTTGCAATAGCTGGAAGTTACTATTTCAGAAGACCCCTTATCCTAGTCAACTGCTGAAACAATTCCAGTACTCTGAAACAGACATCGGAAATGGTGGTTTCCTATAAGTAAATTCTGCTCACCTATAAGAAAATTAATTGAGAATTCTTACCTATGTGTCACTCTCTGTTTCTCTGGTTTTTTCTTTCTCTGCTGTGATGTCAGAAGAGTGTGGGATACCTTGCCCAGCACCAGCTCTTTGATCAGGTAAAACCAAGTGAATGTTTTTATCTTTCTGCAGTCCAGTGTTCCCTTTGTCATCTCTGAGGATGTCTACTCTGCTAGATGGAAGGGCATGTGGAGAATTCACAGTATTTCTTATGTTTCTAGTCCCACAGTTTGAAGGAACAGAGGGAGGGGTTTGTTCCATTTGGCTGAAAGGCATGGAAAAAAAAAAATCTCTTTCAGGGGTGAAGACATTCGGTCTTAGTCCTTTTCAGTACAATGCAGCATAAACATATAGGGATATCAACTGGAAAGCAGCATTTCCCTAAAGAATATGTAAATCAGGGAATAGGTTTGGACAAGAAACGGACTTCAGTGGTGATATGTTCACCATATTCTGAAATGTCATTCCCATTAACCAGAGATGAGGTTGATGGGAGATGTAAAAAGGGATCTTGCAGAGATTCTCTGAAGAATGAGAAACCCCTTTCTTTCTCCCACCTCTCCTTCCAACAGAATCTGCTTGCTAGGACAGAAGGTGGGAGGACATTTCCTGCAGGTTCCTAGCAGTTCAGCTACTTCTCTCCTGCCTTTGCTGGACAAGCAGGTCATTTGTTTTCTTTGTGTCAAGCCTTGTTCCTCTGTTCTGTGAATGACATACCTTTAGCAAGTCAGCAGAAACCCTTTTAATGTCTATTTCTTTATGGGAATAGATCCCGGAACTGAAAGAAGATATCAGTATCCCTGACTACTGCTGCCTGGGGGAAGGGGAGGAAGAGCACATCACCATCAACGCTTGGTTTGGTCCAGAAGGCACCATCTCACCTCTCCATCAGGATCCCCAGCAAAATTTTTTAGCCCAGGTCTGTACTGTGATTACTCTGTATGTACCATTAATGCTTTACCTAGGAAAAGTGCTCACGGTGTGCAAGTGCTAGAGACAAGGGTAGCAGACAACTTGATGAACAATTGAAGGGTAGGGAATATGCAGATATTGTTTTGCTATTCTATTGCATTAGTTGCTATTGCAGCTTAATCTTGTAGGCCACAAGTGCTCCTCATTGAGATAGATCATTACTTATCTTCATTTTGCAGATGATAATTGGGAATCACAAGAAGCCGCTTTTCCAAGGTCACACACAGATTTTGTAAGAGTTGGAAAGAACATAGATCCTGTCAGAGTATACCAAGGAATTTGCTTTTCTGTAACTGGAAGATTTTGGGGTGGATATAGGTGCATACTTTAACAACTTCAGGCTACCTGGTAAAATACCTACTCATGCATGCACTGAGTCAGATGAAGTAGTATTTGCACCATGACCTCATTGCTGCTAAGGGAGATGCTGTTTGTAGGCTTCAGAGTGACACAGTTACGCACCGGGGCCCTGTGTGGTATGTCTATACACAAGTTCAAAGATGTGTTCCTGGTCCAGGCAGCTGACAGCTTCAGACCCTGATGGGATTTGTGTTTACTGGAAGGAGTTTGCTGTTTCTTAAATGGCTTACACTTTGAAACATCTTCCAGGAGAATCATGGTGTTGAATGCTTTCTACTTGTCTATTTGTGGGTTGAGGCTTAGTTCCTCTGTCCCAGACAGTTGCATCTTGCTAACCTGTGTTTTCACTTGTACTGAGGCTTAATTCAGGCCTGCCTAATGTGAGTTTTTACAGCTCCAATACTCTGATTTAACTTTATATTATAGCAGTGTCTGTTTATTGTGAACAAAGACAATGTTTCTTGTAATCAGGTCTATTTTACTCTGAAGTGCCAGCCTTGGCCACAGTTTGTAATGTAATGTGCAGGTTAATGACACATGGAAAATGTTTACTGTCATATACACAGGTATTTGGAAGGAAGTATATTCGCCTGTATTCACCACAAGATTCAGAAAACCTGTACCCACATGAAAGTCAAATTCTTCACAACACCAGTCAGGTAAATAGCTACCTGAAATTTTAATGTCAGTAAAATGTTGTTTTATCAAATTGAATTTGAGAAAAGAGATGCTACTGATGATGGATTGTTTTGGTTTTTCATAGGTTGATGTGGAAGACCCTGACTTAGTTAAGTTTCCCAATTTCAGAAAGGCTGCGTTTCAGTCCTGTGTTCTGATGCCTGGACAGGTTCTGTTTATTCCAGTTAAATATTGGCACTATGTACGATCGCTTGATGTCAGCTTCTCAGTCAGCTTCTGGTGGTCATAGCTCTGAAGCATGCAGAAAGTCTGTTAGCATTGCAACAGGAATTAAGAATTCGTCTTGAGTACAAGAATGTTCTTCCCTATCCAGAAGTTAGAGGTCGATTGAAAAACCCAACAAACTCGTGCTTCAGCATGGTGAAAGAATCTGGATGGATAAACAGAAAGAAGATGCTGCAGCCACTTTACTGTTGTGGGTGTTTCAAATATGAACGCCTCATATGTTAGGTTATCATCATGTGTGTGTGTATCTGAAACGGCTCTATCTATGGCCGCTGCCAGGACTCTGCTTCTAAGTGTATTTGGCACATCAGGTTAGTGTTATCTTCTACTTGGATTTAACAACAAACTGGGAGTTACACAAGCAGGATTTAAATCCCAGTGAGGGATGGTACTACCCAAGGGTAGCAAGATACCAGTCTCCTATACACAGAAAGTTACCAGTGTTAAGACCTAGGAACATAATTAATTGTGGCTAATCCACAGCTTAATTGCAGTTAAATAAACTGAATCATGATTTGAATATCTGCCTTCTGCAGATATGCTGCCGTTCCACACTGGTACCTGGCAAGATTTGATGCTTCTGTTTTTTTAAGTCACTATTAAAGTAAAAAGCATCCTTGCATAAAACTGGACAGTGAAGTGCTAATACCAAAAGCTAATTTTAATTACATTTTTTTTTCCACACTTCACATACAAAAGCTGCCATTGCCCCAGTTCTGTCCGGCTCCCGCCCAATCATTTTGACTGTGGGAATATTCCCTCTTTTACTGAGCACAGCTGCTCACAAACTGTCCTTTTGTTTGATGAACTCTCCTGTGTCTCCAGAAGGAAAAAAACCCAAGCAACAGTGCCCACTGAAAGCATTCAGACTCTAGCCATAGGTGAGATATTCAGCTGTCCACTTCAGTGCGACACCACAAGTACTGCACTGATTTTTCAGCTGCTTGAAGCCCTGTGGTGCTAGGAACAGGTTTCATTTTCAGTTGTGTCCCAGCCCAAGAGCATGGAGAACTACAAACACAACAACCTCCAAGAGAGCTGTGCAGGCATAACTGAAGGAGAACAGGAAGGTCAATGATAATTTTATTGCAAAATTCTTAAAAGCTTGAGGAAAAACCAAGCACACTGACCTCTGCATTGTTGCTAATGAATACAGTACAAGCCTGGCTGTTCCGCAGGAGTGGGGAAGAGATTTTACTAAAATCCAGTTTTCCTAGGATCGTCTCGTGCTGAGCACGAAGTTCTTCTCTGTTCGCGCTGGTTTTGGTGGTGACTGGGTGTCCGTGCGGCTCACTCCTGTGAAAAAAACAAAAGGAAGGTCAATGACAGACACATAAAAAAGGTTGATACTATATAACCTCCAGATTTCTAAAATGCTTTATACACTCCTGTGTTCCTGTTCAGTGTCCAGTTTCCCTGGCTAAATAAAGGAATTCCGAAGAGATCATGGTGGTCTTGGGAGCTCAGTATTTCCAAAGGTGCTGTGTCCCCTGCTCTCCTGTTACAAACAATATGCACGTTACCTGCTCATGACACAAGGCATAACCCTGGTGTTTTCAGGGCTCAGTGTTGCCCCTGTATGGTTTTCTCTATGAAACATACAACTGAAGTCAGAAATAACTGGCAACCCTGCTAGAGCTGTTACTAACATAAGCAGTGCCCTGAGTATCAGCCCCTTCTTGAGTATTACTATACTCATCTGTTTTTGTTTTAAATAGGTTCTTGGTACCTGGAATGTCACAAGTCCAGAAATCATTACACTGTGGACAGCGAGGTTCAGTCTGAGCTCTAAAGTACTTTCTGATGCAAGGTAAATGCATTCCAATTCCACAGGATTCACATACTTGGCTCTGAAATCAAAAGCATTGAAAATCTTTATAATCTGTGCTTCAGTTTAATCTTGTTAAAAGGGCAGCAGACACGCACTGGGGCATTCCAAAGTAGAGCTGGTGGATACTCAAAGCTGCTAAATGATAAAGGAGGTATGTTCCTGGAAACTAGGAAATAACTATTTCCCTTTATGGGCAAAATCTAGCTTGAAAGACAAACTATGGTGAGGTATTTGGCTGCAATGAAGGAGACCTCTGGGATGGAAACATTAACATGGATATACTCCCATGGTACATTGGCAGATGCCCACTGAGGTAACAAAACAAATGTTACCTGGATGGCAAGGCTGTGACAGATGTTACACTTCCTTGCCACATCTTGGTAGTTGCTGAGAATGTATTGTTCCATCTCGATTATGCAGCGAGTATGCAGAGTAAACTCTCCATTTCTCTAAGGAAACAAGTGGCAAGATGAGGAGTTTCTTTTAATCCCTTTTACCTTCTTGACATTCCTGGTCACCTGCTAGCAAGCATTTGACATCCACTTTCTTCTGCCATCATGAAACTAACATGCTGACACTGATGCAATGCAAAGTCAGAATACTTTTGAGGTAGAATTAATGTGTTTAGAGGATCAGAATAAAGATCTCACACCTTTTACAGAGATTTATCTAGTCCTAAGAAGGTATGCATTATTAGGCATGCTCTCCTTAAACACGTGCAGTTTTTGGAGCTTCCATTTGCCCATTAGCAGAAATTCTGCTGGCTTTCAGCAAAATCTGGGCATTTGCTGCTTGAGGTATCTTTGAAAATCTCTGCTAAATCACTAACAAAAGGAAACATGTGGCAGCAGGCTAGAGACTATGATGCAAGGAATCCAGAAATAAAAGGATGGAGGTCTCACTTGTCCTGACAAGCAACTGTGGTAAGCTCATCTTGGTTTCTCCCTCATGAAAAATAAAGGAGATTTAAAAATGTGCACATTTTTATGCCCATGCATTTCTGGTACAGGAGTTTTCAACATGTTTGGCCTCACAGCTTTTCAGGATATTATAAACTTAACAGTTACAATTGACATTTACCTTAACCATAATGGCACTGATCACCCTGAAAAGCTTTCCTCAGGTCTTGTTCCAAGTTTAAGTAAGCCATGCTGTTGTGAACCAAAGAGGTCTCTGTGCCACAGTGCAGGGCTGTACCTAGCTCATGGGCAAGGAACTAGAATCATGTCCTGTACAGACCTACACAAGGACTTCTTCCTTGTCAATGTACTACCTTTTCTGCAACAAACACTGAAGCAGCAATAAGCACATGCTCCACAAAGACATTTTTGCCATCATTCATTAAAGAAAGCTCCAGTTTCATCCACAAGAAAGTAATAGCTGCACTTACTAACATACAGACACTTGAAGATACAGCAGTTACCTCAGAGAGCCACTTATCCTCCACAAAAACTTTCAGCACTTGTTCCGCTTCTTTTTTCTTCATTTTCTTTGTCTTAAGTTGGTCAGCCAAGTTTAAAATATCTGTAGAAGGGGCAAAGCCATTTTCTGATAAAATGATTAGGTCCATCTACAGAAAGAAATATGTTCAACTATTAAAAACACCCATGCAATTAGACAGACACACCTTATAGTAATGTGCAGCTTTTTTAGCTTCCAAACATAGGAGATATATTACAGTGTATGGCTTGGTCCAGAACTGTAACACAAAGGCCAAAAGCTGAAACAGCTGTCAGTACTTTGACAGCTTTAATTCTTGCCAGGAAAACGTTTCCACAACTGTACAGTGGTGCCAGATGAAGCTGCACTCAGGGACCGTGAGCATACGTGGCGGTAAGAGATCCACTTCCTTTTACTTGGTCTTTGTCAAGGTTCTTTTGAGGAAAACCCTCTCCTTACTCAAGTAAGTGTAAGTTTGCCCACACTCGAGTCAGCAGCACTGCTGAACTTACCTGGCATTTGAAGGCTGTAACAGTGTTACCAATCTGCGGAATCTCTCACTGGAAACATTTGCTTCCCATTATCACAGAGCAGCATATAGAGCCAGTAGGATTGTGTGCCATGCTAATGCCATCACTGCAGTGCTGACAGGCCTGCAGAGGTGCTTCACTGGTTACGGGGGAGGGCAGGGGAATCTGTGGGTTCTGTCCATGCAGACTAGGCTTTGCAGGTGGCACAGCACAGGCAACGCACCTCTTGCCAGTTTGTACGGAAAACTTCGTGAGTGTGGAAAAAATCACCTCCATTTTCATGTGTTTTAAGATGGTACCTCCACAAATAATGTGATTTGCTACCTAATAGCTGAGGCACTTACTGTTTTTCTGAACAATTCTAATTCATTTTCGGTATAGTCAGATGCCATTTTAGTTATTTCAGTTTCTGCCAAATTCACCTACAAAAAAGAAAATAATAATACTTAAATTGCCACCAAAGTTGCCTTTGTGTTTCCGCACCATAAATTGTAAAAGATCCTCTGGGGTAAAGAATACATCAGTTCACAGAAATGTTGTTTTTTTAAGTGGCATGAAAGAGGCTGTTCCTTAAAGATGGCACTCGGTGGTACTCGAGTCGTTTCTTCAGGACTGATCTTCCAGCCACATGTTCTCCACAGCTCTCTCTGCCCAGTCGAAGCTCTTAAACAGCCCAACCTCCCCCATATAGCTCTAATACAGGATATCAGTTCCATGTAGTAGAACACCAGGATACTGTGCTGGACAGTAGCAGTAACTATGTTATAATAGCCATTCTTGTTTTGCTCTGAAGAACAGTTGCTGTTATTTTGTATTCTTACTGCATATGCTACTGCTATTGATTGTTAGCTCAACTAAATTGGCAAAATGACCCAGAAAGGTTAAAGCAGCAGCTAATGTTAGAATACCTCCTGTACAGTCTTTTGAAATTCCTATATAACTTTCCCTCTCTGACATGCACAATGCACAGCATTTAGGGAAACTTTTATAGGTCATTCCTTAGGAACCCTTTTATGCTAGGTTGATTTCTGACTAAGAGACAAAACTATGTTGGGGGGCTCTCTGTGTTTTCTGGTTTAAAAATTAGTCTTGTGAAAGAAAGCCCCTGTGAAAAAGAAATCTCACGTCAGCAGTGTTAATGCTAAATAAATGAGCACTGCTGCAGTCCTGCTGCCACTTTCCATTTCCATGCACCTCAGTTGTTGGCAGTTTATCCTCCCATTTCCCTCTTCTGTAAGTAGCTTCTACAGCACCTGCCAGCATAACAGGAACAGCCCCACTTAAACCAGGTGATGGCAGCATCATACATGTACTTACTAAAGCATAATGCGCTCTCCCGTCATCTTCTGACAGTCCCTTCCGGATCTGCATAAAAAAAGGCTGTAGATGCCTGTTGATGGTACTGATGAAATCAGCCAGTTTATCATGTGCATAGTAGACTGAAAATAAATAAGAAAAAGCACATAGACAAACAACCCAAACAGCTCCATGTCAGACAGCTCTTTATGTGTTTTATCTGCTGAAACTTTAGTGTAATTCGGTAAGGAACTGAACTTAATAAGGCAGCATTCAAACAGGTTTATCGTGTTTAGCAGATAGGTCATTTTATTCTGCTGCTGACTACTGCCTTCAGAGAAGCTCAGCTCCCAGACATTCTGCCAGGACTACCCTACTTCCAAAGCACTGGATTAAACTGTTTGTAAAGCTTGAATTTCTAATAACTCCCCCTGTAAAATGCAGTACCTTAAAAAAAAACCAACAAAATTTACAAGTGCTGCAAATTATTTTTTGTGACAGAAATAAATTACTTCCTTCTGTAGGGCATAAAATGCAACTCAGCTAATGCTGTAATCAGATGTCCAACATGTTTTCAGAATGCAAGTCAGTGGGCTGTGCTACACTCATATATTCACTGCATGCTAGATCTCAGGATGTGTAATTTAAAACAATGCCTGTTGGAGTTACCTGCCTTTCAATAATAATGTTTTAAAATCGGTAATTTGAACAGTATTTGGGTGTTTCCTTTTAAATGGCACTTTTTGTTCTTGAACATTCCTTGTGAGAACATTCCCATCACTAAACTTTCTTTAGATGGCACATGCTTTTCAGAAATACAATTATTTGTAACCAGGAAAAAAACAGTTCTTCCATCTCCCCACTTTTTCCCCAAAAGAGAGACACACCGTTATGGACTTCACAGCAGTGTTTGTGTAATTTCCTTGCCTCCGATCCTTCCATTATCCCATGAGACATCAGGACCTGCAGGAACCGTCGATGAGCATCAGTCATCTGAGCTGCCATCGTGATACTCCACCAGGCTCTGAATGCTGCAAGAGGCATACACATTATCAGTGCATATTTTCATGCAGATGGAGAACACACACTGCAAAAAGAAAATCCCCAGGTTGTTCTCAGAACACAGACAGTGACTAACTCCAAGGTTTTGGAAGGATGCAAAAGATAAAGCCCAACTAATTTTAGCTGCAGAAGAGACGAGCACAGGCACTGTTCTCTCATACCCACACTGGCCATGGCAGTGCTGTATCTGTAACCACCAACACCTTGCACGGTTTGTGTTGATGCTTCTGCTCACCACACACCCCGGTGACCTGTGCAATGAGGAGTGCAGCTCGCTCCGGACAGACCCCCCCCCCCCCCCCTCTACACGTCCTGAACAACTCCAGAACTAAATAAACGCATCTCCAGATACCCTTGACCGCTGCAGCCAAACCACCGCTAACAGCTCACCAGAACGACAAAACTTCCGGGCCCCTGCGAGGCCGAGCGAGGCCCAGGCCGCGCCCCGCCGCGGCACTCGGCGGCGCCGGCCGAGCGCGGGAAGTGGACCCGGGCGTGGGAGTTTCTCGGGCAGGGCGACAAAGCGCCCTCGGCTCCTCTTCAAAAGGGGCGACCGACAGCCTCCGCCCGAGCCCGGCCTCCCGGCACCGCTGCTTCGCCGGCCGCTCGGCCTTCGGGCGCCTGCCCAACCCGCCGGTGAAGCCTCGGGCAGCCGCCACACTCGATCCTTCGGCGATCGCTGCGGCCGCCTGCGATCGATCGGCTCTGCGCGGGGCCCGCCCCGTGACGCCGCTGCGGGGGTGGCCCCGCCCCGTCGTGCGTAAAGCGCCGTCCGGCGGTGGCAGGGGCAGCGTTGAGCTTCGGTCCGCTCCGTTCCGGTCCGCTCCGTTCCAGTCCGCTGGGGGTGAAGTACGCGGGCCTGGGGAGCGCGGCTCCCGTGTGCGGCCGACCCGGTCCAGACTGGAGGCCTGGCGCGGGAGCCCGTCGCGCCGAGCAGGACCCCGACCAGGCCAGGTACCTCCGGCGACTCCTCCGCCCCTCCCGGCTTGGTGGCTGCGCGGGCTCCTCCCAGTTGCGAGCTGTGGCGGGGCCGGGGCCGCCGTTGCCTCTGCCGGGGCCGAACGGGCGCCTGCTGTGCACCGTGCGGGGTGGGGGGAAGCTCCGGGTGCTGCTCGGAATGTCCCGGGGCGGCGGGGCCGGGGAAGCGCCGCCGCAGTTTTCTCTTGTCCCTCGCCCCTGGACTCGGGCGCCGCGGCTGAGGCGAATCCCGACAAAACGGATGGAATTCCCAGAAATGCCCTTTCTGCCGCCCGGCGGGTGCGGGACGAGGTGACAGAGCACGGGCTCCTGCCCCGGGCTGTGGTGCTCACGGTTTGCACTTCGAGCGGGTTTTATTTCCAGCCTGTCCGGGTTCGGTCTCTGCAGTAACGGTTCACCCGCAGGGCTCGGCCTGCGGCCCCTCCCGTTACGGGGGTGCCGTGTCCTTATTCCCCTGGCTGACTTCTGTCACCTCGATATGAGAACATGCTGGAGAGCAGGACCTTCAGCTGAAGTCATCGCCCAAATCTAACTCGATCCACGTTTTTCCAAGAGAGCCCATCTGCTCATTTTGAGAGGCTCTCCCGTCTCTGTCAGTAGGGGTTTATCCGGATGTGCCCCGTCCAGCTCCAGAAATGCAGATACCCTTTGTGTGTTGTTGTGTAAGGCGTTAGCTCGAGGTATCCCAAATTACATGAAGGAATTTGTGGAATGAGGATTAAAAGGATATTAAAATATTAGTAAAATCAGTCATTTAAAAAGAATAAAGAATGTCTTGGTCCGTTAAAATCCACTAGTCTGTGAAGTACAGTTCCTTCTTCAGTGATCATACAAGACAGGAAATCCTGCGCGAGACAAACGTAAGGGCTAGCAGACAGGAAAAGGGCTAGCAGACAGGAAAGCTGTTCCCTGTTAACATCTCCTCCCTTTGCATAGGGTTCATCGTCCACTGCTGTTACGAAAAGAAAGCTTCTGGTTTTGTTTTCCCAGGGTTTGCAGTTAGAGCCGCGGGGTACCGCCGCTTGCTGCATGCGCAGAGCCTCCCTCCTCTGGGGGAGATGGTTTTGCTGTGCCGTCTCTGATTCACACAGGCTTTCGTGATGCAGGACTCTCTGCCAAACTTTGCAGAGTTTCTTGGAATTTCAGTCATGCAGCAGTTACTTAACAATGGGCTGGAAAGTGAACACTTCCTCTCTTGGGAATTCCGGGAAAAACTGGGGAAAGCTGAAGGATTTTTGTATGCTGGAGCAGTTTGATTTTTTTTTTCTTTTTTTTTTTTTTCTGAGCAGCAGCAAAAGCACTTGTGTTCTTCTCAAATAATTATTACTATGCTCAGTCTTGTTTTTTTTTTCAAAATGTGAAAAGCTCAAAACCTTAACTGCATTGGGTACATTTCTAATAACATGAACATTGGTAGCCATAGCTAATCCAAAATATGATATTCCACTGTGTGGCTATGTTGCAACAGTAAAAGAATCTTGGGGAATCATGTGTTTTGAGAGTTTTAAATGAATTATTTCATCTATTTCAGTTTACTTGAGCAGCTTTGCTGTGCTTAAGGAATTCTAATATGTGAAAGCTGCATAACTTTCATCTCCAAAATTGTGCTGGTTATATCATGACTTAGGTATGTGTTTCACAGCTTCTAATTATTTACTGGTTTAATGAATCTGCATTCTCCTGAAGCAGGGCTCAGAGGTCTTTGCTAAGATCTTTTTCAAGAGAATAATATTATTGGGGTACTGTGATAAGACTTGGGGAAAACACTTCAGTAAATAGGTCAGACACTTCATGCTTAGATTCTTTCAGTTACCTCAGTGGAATCATAGGGCTTTGGAAATGTGTTGCTTGTCAGTGATTTTGGTCTAGTCTTTACCCTTTCAATACCTCACTGGCAGCTTTGTTTTTCTGGTAGCTAAAATGGGTGTCTCCAGTGCCAGGCCAGGATCCTGCAATTCAAACTCTGCAGAAAAGTCTTCGAGCTCATTTGTTTTATTCTTGTACACTGCTTGTTGTTCTATGAGCTGACTTTAGGGGGATGAAGCACTGCAGGGGATCTGAATCCTAACATCTAGCAGAAGCAATAAGAAGAACTACACCTTTACCTTCACTGGAACACTGATGTAAGCTTGTAATAATGTTTTCTGTTGGCAGGATTTCAGCACAGCTTGTCCTGTGGAGCCTGGCCAGTGTCAGTGATGGCAAGGCTTCCAAGTGCTGCACCGCGTACCCTGTGGATCCTTTTCTTTTCATATACAACAAATGAAGGTACATTTATCAACGTTTTCAATGATTATTCTGAGGTTTTTGTCAGCAGCATTTTCCCTGGCCAGTAGGCAACACCATTGCCATTCATTAGCTACTATAAACTGTGTCAGAAATACCCTAGGGCAAGTTCTAAGGTTTTTGGTTGGGTTTTTTTGTTTTTATTTACCTTTTCCATATAGGCAAGAAAAAACAGGAATTTTCAGGAAGGAAGAACTGAAGTTTGGAATGTCATCTCCCTGCTTCACCATTACCTAACCCCTTTTGGACACTTTGCTCCAAACAGGCTGCTCAGCAGTAGCCCAGGGACATCTCTGTAGAAATCCCATAAAAGGAGAATGCATCCCCCATTTTCTGTAAATTACCTTTATCAAGGTTTAATTTTTCACATTTTTCCTCTGATTAACTGCATGTTTCAGGTTTCTTCAGCATGATGTTCTAGTTGGGGATTAAAAAATAAATCCAGTATTTCAGTTCCCTTTTTTAACTGCATGAACTGAAATCAACCTCTGTGCTCTATGTGGTTTCAAAAGGAAATTCTCCAATGTCTGAGGTTTAAACAAAGTACGGTGTACCAGAGATGAAAAGGGAGGTCACAGGAAAAGAGTAGAGAAAATAATGTACAGATCTGGAAAGACCTGAGGACACTGAAGGGTAAAGCAAAGCTGCAAGTCAGCATAGCTTAACGCAGCAGGAGGAGCTTCGTTTAGTTGAAGTGTTCTTGTGAATGTAAGATCATTAACACACGGAAAAATAATGATGTTGATCTTTAAAAGGCTTCAAAAGTCTGCTTTCTTCTGATGATTCCTAGGTTTTTTTTAAGAATCGGGGACTGTGCAGAAGGAAAGGGAACTAAATGTGGTGCCGCTATCCAGAAAGAATACCAGTGATAGTTCTAACTAAACTAACCAGCCAACCAACTGATGTTCTAACTAAAAACATTTTCTAAGTGTCTGAACACCAATGAAGCTGTGAGCTGCCTCAGACCCAGGTTTAGAACCAGTGGATATACCAAACAATTCAGATTATTATTTGTACAGAAGTTTTAAATGGCTCTTTTACATTGCCAAGCCTCCTCTTGGCATGAGTGAGCCTCACTGAGGGGACTGAGTTTACTCTCATGACTCAGGCCTGCGTAGTCTCCAAATTTTGTGGCAGAAAGGCAAGTGCAAGTGATGTGTGCTTTTTAATGCGGGTGAAAGACCATACACTGAGACCATACACTCAACAGTGAAGGGTTCATTTGAGTCAGGTTTTTATTGAAGTACCAAAGGGTCTGGTGATAGATCCTGTTGTATGTTATGTATCTAAAAGGCATTTGACCATCGTGTTTATTATACTTGCAGATGCTGTACTGTATCAGAAGTTATATTAGAATAAGTTAGATGAGTGGACTACAGAAAAGTAGAAGTGGAGGATAAGATGAAATTTAGGTATTTTTGACAACAAAAGGTTTTGCTTGGAAGGAATAATCTGAAACTTAAGTATCCATTGGAAAGAACAAGCCTATGAAGAAGCAGTGACTGAAGGACAAGGACCTTACAGGATGTGAATTGTTCACAATTTACTTAATCCTGAATTTGCAATGCAAATGACAAGAATGGAGAGTTAGTAATGTGCTGGGCCTTGTGAACAAAACTGCCCCTTGTATAACTGCTGTAGGAAACCTTCTAGCAGAGCCTCTTAGGAAGCTGTCAGAAAAATATCAATTAATGGGATTCTGAGCCTCAGCAAAAGCTATTCTAAATTCTGTTGACTGTTGAGCAGAAGAAGAGGATTTAGATCTGTACAACTTGTGCAGGAAAAGAGAGATGTTGTTAATATTCACCAATAACAGAGAAGTTAAACATTAGACCAGGCAAAGAATTGTCTGGGATGATGAAAGTAGTGGCTATTTCTGACTGCTTCATTTAGGAATGACTGCATTCTGATCCCATATCTGGCTCACTGTCAGTCCTGATAACTGCATGACCTTACTGTCACACAGTTGCTCCTCCTCTGCGCTTTGTTTCACTCGTGTCAAGTGCATGGGAGGAGTGTAAAATGAGGCAGGGAGGGGTGCTGAGGGTTGCGTATTCCATTTCCCTTCCCAGAACTGGCAAAGAGAGTTTAACCAATGTTTTGTATGGTTGTTTTGGTTTTTTTTTTTCCTTAAATGGTGCTAGTGGAAGATTGTAATTGTGAACACTGGGAGTGCAGAGAGTTTGGGCTTTGCTGGACCTTCTCAGTGCCTGGAATGATGCGACTCAATCTCTCCAAGTCTCTGAATACTGTCATAACAATGAAAAGTAGAAGACAGAACAGGAAATACTGAGTAAAATTAAGAAAAGGGGCATACTGGGAGAAAGTCTGTGACAGGAATTTCTTCTAGGCAACGGGGGAACTGCTCTGGGGAGGCAGAGGACATG